GCATTGCGAAAATACTAGTTGTACTCAAAGTAATCTAAAGATTAAATGCAATCCCAATAAAAATTCCAGTAGATGTGTGTTTGTGTGTGTGTGTGTGTGTTTGAAAATTGATAAGTTGTTTCTAAAAATCAGTGGAAAAGGGCAAAAACCAGTCAAAGCTATCATGAAACAAAACTGGAAGATTTGTGCTACAGATATCAAAATGTATTTCGAAGTTACAGTAATTAAGAGTGTATGGTGTTTATCCAATAATAGACCAATAGGCCAATGAAATAGAAGAGAGTTCAGAACTGTTTCTGAACTCATATATTGTCACACATATATTGTCACTTCATTTGTGATATGGACGCTACTTTCAGTAAATGTTGTTGGGTCAAATGTATATCTACCTGTTGGAAGACAACCTTGGTACCTCTTAAAACTGTACATAAAAATTAATTCCAGGTGGATTTTGATCTAAATTTAGGAGGGAAAACAATAAAACTTCTAAAAGGTAATATAGGAGAATATTTTTATGACCTTTGATTTGGCAAAGGTTTCCTAATCATGACACAAAAAGCCCTAGCCATAAAGGAAAAGAATGATAAATTGAACTGCAGAACTTCTTTTGTATCAAAAGACCTTATTATAAATGTGAAGAGGGAAGTTACAGGATAGGAGAAGATATTTTCAAATGTTTATCTGACAAAGGACTCTCATCTACTGTATATAAAGAACTGTTAAATCGATGAGAAAAAGATCAATCAACTCCCTGAAATGGGCAAAAGCTTGAAAAAAAAACCTGAAAAGTAGATTTCCAATACCAGAGTAGATGACAAACATATAAAAAAGTGCTCAACATCATTAATCAGAAACATGCAAATTAAAACCAAAATTAGATACCATTTTATGTTCACCAAAATGATATGTTTAAAAACACCACAACCCTAAGTGTTTGAGAGGATAATGGAAGACCTTGACCTCTCCTACACTGTTGATGGGCATGTCAGTCGATACAACTTTGTCAACATCTACCATATCTGAATATACCTCTAATCTGTGATTCAACAATGTCACTTCTGAATATATAACCAGTGGAAATGCATACATGTATACTTCAGGATATATACATAGATGTCTGCAAAAGCCTTTTTGTAAGAATCTCAAACTGGGAATGTCCATTAATAGGAGAATAAATAAGTAAATTTTGAAACCCCTATTCAAGAGAGCATTATACACTAAAAGTAAATTAACTACTATGTCATGGAACCTTATGGACAAATCTTACAAACTCAATGCTCAGCAGAGAAGCCAGACAGAAAAAAAGTGCATACTGTATGATTTGTTTAGAGAAAGTTCATAGATAGACAAAGCTTATTAATTGTAATATAATTGGTAACTGTGGTTACCTTTGGTGAAGGGATTGGTTAGTGATTGTGAAGGGGACACAGGGAAGCCTCCAGAATACTATTATTTGGTTTATTCATCTAGGGTGGTGGGAGGTAGTGCTTCTATAGCTATGTTTACTTTGAAAAATCTCAATGAGCTTCACATTTAGCAAGTGGGTAACTTGTTCTATATGTATCTTTGATTTTAATTTTACCTTGTAAAATTTTAATAGATGAGCTAAAAATAATATATCAAGTGTGAGTTAAGAAGCTGGGTAATAGTGAGCTAAGTTCTTGCCTTTCATATCAGGTTGTTCTTGGGTTTGTCTTAACAATAATGAGTCAAGCAATGGAGTACAATTATATTGTCCAACATTTTGGCGATAACTGCAAAAACACCCAAAAAACTCATTTTAAAAGGTTGATTTTGGCGAGTGAGATGGCGATGAAGGGATGAGTTTGGGGCTAGACTATTTATCATAGATTTTTTAAACCATTTGCTTACAATTATAAAACTTTTTAAAGAAAGTATCAAACTACCAGAGGCACATTTCAGTTCCATAAATATTTATGGCATACTTAAATTATGCCAAGAGCTGTGCTAGATGCAGGGGAAACAAAGATGACTAAGATATGATACTTTCTTTCAAGGAGTTCACAGTTTAATAATGGAAATAGGTACTTAAGCAGAGGATGTTCTTTCTTTTTTATTTCTATTTTTTTCTATTACAATACACATTTAGAAAAAACTGGAAAACAAACAGAAAAATAAAATTACACATAGTCTCATTATCAAAAGATAGTTTTCCAGAATTTCCATACATATGTAACTATTTTTTGAAATATATATGTGTAACTATTCATATTTTTTGCAACCAGACAAAATATACAGAAAATATTTTCTAATGTCTTTAAAAATTCTATCACACTAAACAGTGACTGCCTATAGTCACCTAATGAGTTTGCCCCAGTTGATAGAGTCATCAGCACAGCCTTGGAGGTTGGATAAAGCTTCCTAATAAAGATCACTCATCACTGAGAACATATTCCATTTCAATGAAGCATTATTATCACAAAGTAATCAAATCTTCCCTCGGGTCCCCCCACTGAATACACACACACTACCCTGACATAGTTTTATTGGACCCATATGATGAGCTATTGTGTTCGCAAATTCAGGCTGTTCTCAAGATGTCTTTGCACTGCCATTTAAATTCATCATTTAGGAAATTTTTCTCATCTCTATTCTCTCTGCCATCTGCCATCCACAAGCCAGTGTACTTATAACCAAGAATGGAAATTTCCAGGGCAATGAGGAGGTGGGAAAGAGAAGGAGGGCAGCTAAGATTACCCAAAACCTGAGCTCTGGCCTCCTTTTATATCAGTAGAAAACGCCCCCTACTTAGCCTCCAAAGCCACTGCAAAATAGTTGGCTAAAGTAATTAGCGATGATGTTATACTCCTGGAGATAAGTGTTGTCCAAAATTCAGGAAAAGAAAGAGAAGGGGAAAGAAAAAGGGGAAGGGAAATGAAAAGGGAAAGGAAAAGACAAAGGGAAAGAGAACGAGAAAGAAAAGACCAGGCAGTTCTACAGAAGCGCTTCTTTCATTTGAGAACCGCTTACTTTCTTCTTAGATGCCAATTGTTGAGGTTCCTTCCAGGACCTGATACTGAGATGAAATTTTACAAAATGCATTTTATGCAAAACTCCTACACACAAAAAAAGAGACGCCCACACACTCAGCAGGTCGAACACTCAAGAATTATATACATCAAATTTGCTAGAAATAAAGAAAAAGTAAGTAATAATTTCCATACTGACCTGGATATAGAAGTTCTTGAGTCAAACTTTCATAGCAGATGGAATGATTTTTTCTGACAGTTACACACACTCTTTGCCAGGGTGAAATGATAACCAGTGACAGAATGGTCATAATAACTTTGGAAAATGAAAGGCTATGAGGACCAGAATTTTATTTTTTTAACTACTTAAATTAGAAATAGTTATCTATGCTGAAATGAGACTTTGAAATGGTGGTGACTCAGACATAGACTAGTACTTTTCAATAACACTTATGAATGCTATAATTAATCCAGTAATTCATTTTACTAATAAAATACAACTAGGATGTTAAATAATCTGAACATATTACTTCTCTTACTTTAAGTGCTTTACACATTATAATTAAGCAAAGCAAGGTTAAAATCATACACATAATTAAGGAAAGCAGTGTTAAAATAAATGAAACAGAATTGTTCTCTGTACTCGATTTAATCTCCATAAAAAGACGATTACATAGTGTTAAAGATGGTAGGGCTTCCAAACACTTAGCCCATAAGTATATTAAGGGAGCCTGAAATCAATGTTTAATTTCTTTGACTTAGAGCAGAATCAGTTCTTTTCTTTGAGTGTTTATTGTAAGTAGAGCTCTTATCTTCCAAATAAAAGACTTAAGCATCAGAACTGCTGTGCTTCTAAAACAATACAGAAGAATAAACCTCTATTTAGAATCTACAAAGAACAAATCCAACATTTAGTTGCTACATGATATATATTTTTCATGGAATATTTTTGACCTGTTGGGACACATCTCATTTTTGAACACTTAGGAATAATACATACTTACACATTCTTGCATGTATCAAGCATTTATTGAGTATGTTTTGAATTTCTTTCATCAATAACTTATGTCTACTTAGAGCCACTCTTTACTATTTAAGAGGTTGCAGGAAAATCTTAAATCTGAGTCATTTTCCCCAAATTTAATTGCATTGAGCATGCTGAAAATTCATAAAATTTTTCACTTTCATAAGGAAAATTAACATAAATTGAGCAAATGCTTTTTTTCATACATATACTAGGCACTTTTTAAAACATACATACGTCTTTAAATCTTGAAATAACGCTATGAGTAAGGGCTATTTAACATAATGACTATGCCCATTTAACATGAATCTGTTTAAAGGAATTATGTAACTTACCAAGTTCACACAATTAAGAAGTAGCAAAATCAGTATTCAAATCCAGATTTGTCTGATTCTGAAGTTCATATTCTCTCTGCAACATTACATTACTTCTTGTATATAGACGCTAAGTTTAACCCTATTCTAGTAACTTTTCCAAAATACTGAGGTCTTGTTATGAAGGGAGTAATTTTATAGACATAGTGACCATTATTCCACAGAGAAATTATGTATTACCTGGTAAAGAATTTTAATTCCAGTGTGAGATTAGAATTAAATTAGTATGCCAGTGTTTGGTAATTTCTGACAAATGTAGGGACACAAGATTTGAATTGGGGAGGTCCTGAAATAGGAAGATAGAAGTAATAATATGTTGATATATTTGCACTAATGTATCCATTATGATGCTAGGAAATTTTTAACATAGCTCCTTGGGCACTGAGGTTTTGATACATGTACATTTTGATAGATCCTAATAGACAAGCTACTAAATGTTTAGTCTTTTTCTAAGCCCCAAATTACTGAAACAAATGATTTTACCCAACTAATAAGCTTCATGCCTCATTCCTAATCCTGTCCCAGAATAAGGATCAGGGATAAAATCTGAATATTACTTAGAGTTGACTTATCCATAAATATGCATGTGCTTGGCCCTCATATCTCTCTCAGTTTCACAGTTCCAGGTATGTTCAAGGCCTTCTTGGATTATCTGCTGGTGTCTGTTTAGAAACCATTTCAGTTTCGTTCTGCTACTGACTAGTGAGTGCAAAATCCTGTCATGCCTTCTATGTCTTGACGATACCTAGTTGCTTCCCAAAGTGGGTAATTCCTGGAAAATGAGGTCCTTCCTTTCACTCCACTGTTCTCCAGAAGAAATATCCACCCTAAATATCCATATGCCCTCAAATTCTGGTGAACAAAATTTTTCATGTCATTACACTTTAATGGTAGGTTTGAGACAGGCTCAAAGGGCAGGCTTAGCAAGTAAGTGGAGGTTAAATACTATCTGGCTGACAAACCTCATTGAAACAAGAGCCCCATATATATATATATACACACACACACACACACACACACATAGACATACACACCCTGCTGGTGCATCTCATGGTGGCAACAATGACTCATCTATGCAGAATACCTCTTTTTCTCTGTGAATTCATTTGTTTCTTGAATGGTCTCAGATTTTCCGATATCTCCCTCAAAATTAAAGTAACTGCAGAGCCGGGGTTGGAGTGAGTATTGGAGCTTCACACTGCTCAAGAAATCCTCAATTACATTTTTTACAACTTCCTTCATATCTGCATTAATATAAATTTATCATATTTAATATTCTAAAACAAAGTTTAAATGATGGCTTTTTGAGGGGGTGAGACTAAAGTTCCCACAAAGGCTAACCAAAGTAGACTTACTTCAAAAATTTATTTCATTCATTACTACAATAAAAGTAATTATTAAACTATAACTTTATAGCTTATTCTATCAAACTATGAAAACTATTTTATTGTAACTATTAAACTATACATAACTATTAAAATAATATAGATGTAAATCGAGTTCAAATAAAAGTTTATCATAACCAGAATGGCAGCTAACAGATTAAATGTAAATCAAAGAGATCTATTTTGCATATCATTGAGTATTTTTAAAGATATTTTTACTCTGATCAAGCCATATGGAATCAAAGTGATTGCTTCACGATGTACCCTGTGATACAGTATCTGCACCAAAATGCTTGTACCAAAACAGCTGTATCAACATGGCCATATAAGCACATTCTGCTGTGATCCAGGATAGACTGTAAATTAGATATAAGTGGTGGGCCTCACTGTCATATTTCTCTTCCATTGTATACTGTGTTGTTCTTTCTAGCCTTGATGCACGCCTTGGTGTTTGGAAACGTGACAGCAATCATACAGAGGATGTACTCCAGATGGTCCCTCTATCACACTAGAACTAAGGATCTGAAAGATTTTATCCGTGTCCATCACCTGCCCCAACAGCTCAAGCAGAGGATGCTCGAATATTTTCAAACAACCTGGTCAGTCAACAATGGAATAGATTCAAATGAGGTAATGTTCATTTCTCATGTTGTTTTCAGGCAGAAAGCACATATTCTAAGGTAAAAGCAAGATGCTCTAATGCAGGTATCAGAAGTGAAAAGTATACTAACTTCTTTATTCCTTTATTTTTTTAATTATTCATGAATCCCAATCCATCTTCTTTCGCTTGCTTTGGCTTGTGTTTTCACAATGCCAATTTGGATGGACCAAAGTTTTATATTAACTTGCTGCTTGTTCAATCAGGTGGACTTTCCTTCTTATCGTCTCTTTTCTAAGGAATCAATTCTTACGACAATTTAATGGTGTAATCTGGGATAATTATATGAATCAAGTTTCTGTTTCCCTTTAACATCAATAAAGTTAAAAAATTCCATCAAAGGGGTTATCTTTATACTTCCAGAAACACCCCAGACTGCCACTATAAAAAAGGTATTATATATATCTCATTCCTGTAATCCCAGCACTTTGGGAGGCCCCGGCGGGTGGATCATGAGGTCAGGAGATGGAGACCATCTGGCTAACACGGTGAAATTCCATCTCTACTAAAAATGCAAAAAATTAGCCGGGCGTGGTGGCGGGCGCCTGTAGTCCCAGCTACTCGGGAGGCTGAGGCAGGAGAGTGGGGTGAAACCGGAAGGCGGAACTTACGATGAGCCAAGATCACACCACTGCACT